TTTGTTGAGGAAGTTATGGAACTTGTGGAGCTTACACCATTAAGATCAGCCTTAGTTGGTTTGCCAGGAGTCGATGGTCTCTCAACTGAGCAACAGAAAAGGTTGACCATTGCAGTGGAACTAGTGGCAAACCCCTCTATCATTTTCATGGATGAACCAACTTCAGGGCTAGATGCAAGGGCTGCTGCAATTGTTATGAGAACTGTTAGGAACACCGTTGACACAGGAAGAACCGTTGTTTGTACCATCCATCAGCTTAGTATCGACATTTTTGAAGCCTTTGATGAGGTGAATTTAATACCCTTTGAACTCGATCAAGCAAATAAATGTCTTTCTTTCTCTTTTGACATTGAATACTAACATAAACACCACTTTGCAGCTATTCCTAATGAAACGAGGAGGACAAGAGATATATGTTGGTCCGTTGGGTCGCCATTCTTCCCATTTGATCAAATACTTTGAGGTAAGTTGTCTAAGTGAACAAGAGCTTTCCCTTTTTGAGCTTTATATGATCAAATACTAAACTAAGTTTCCTTTTATTCAGTCAATGCCGGGGGTAAGTAAAATAAAAGATGGCTATACTCCAGCAACTTGGATGTTAGAAGTCACAGCCTCGGCTCAGGAAATGACGTTAGAGGTTGATTTTGCTGATTTATACAAGAAATCGGACCTTTACAGAAGGAACAAAGCATTAATTAACGAACTAAGTGTGCCTCGCCCTGGTACAAAAGACCTGCATTTCGATAGTCAATACTCACAACCATTCTGGACCCAATGTATGGCTTGCCTTTGGAAGCAACACTGGTCATATTGGCGTAATCCTACTTATACTGCAGTCAGATTTCTCTTTACAACCTTCATTGCCCTGGTCTTCGGGTCAATGTTCTGGGATCTTGGTACTAAAGTGTAAGTCCAAACATATGCCAGAAAACAAGTATATAATCTGGAAAATACTTTTATTTCTTAACGCTAAAAGCCTACTCATATTTTCTGGTTACAGGAGTAAGAGCCAAGACCTATTTAATGCTATGGGATCCATGTATGCTGCTGTTATCTTCCTTGGTGTACTAAATGCATCATCAGTGCAGCCTATTGTAGCGGTTGAGCGTACAGTATTTTACAGGGAAAGAGCTGCTGGGATGTATTCTGCCATACCCTATGCCTTTGGACAGGTCAGCGTAAAGTTCAACTTTGTATAAACCAATTTCATGTTAAAGAAGTCTACATTACCTATAAAAGTTTTTCTATCATGTAGGTTTTCATTGAAATCCCTTATGTCTCTGTGCAAGCTGTTTCCTATAGTGTCATTGTGTATGCTATGGTTGGATTTGAATGGACAGCGGCCAAGTTCTTTTGGTACTTGTTCGCCATGTATTTCACCCTATTGTACTTCACCTTCTATGGTATGATGACCATTGCTGTTACCCCAAATCAAAATGTTGGTCAAATCGCTGGCTTTTTCTTCCATGCCATATGGAATCTTTTCTCAGGATTCATCATTCCACGACCTGTAAGTTCTTGAAAAACCTTCATTTTTGCTCTCAAGAACACTGAAAATTTTGATTTAGAGCTTTGAAAATGAAATGCTTCCCTTGTTTTTCTTCATAAAAAAACAGCGTATGCCCATATGGTGGAGATGGTACTATTGGGCTAATCCTACCGCCTGGACTTTGTATGGTTTGGTTGTATCACAATTCGGGGACCTCCAAAATAAACTTAGTGATGAT